GTTCTGCTGACTGCCCAGGATTGAGAATCTGATCCTCAGAATACTGAGACTCCAATGAAACAAAGGTCTAAGGGGACCTGCTCAGGTTCAGCCTCCGAGAGATAAAAATTTGCTCCCCGAACTTTGATTATTTCCTTTAACAACTAAGCCTTTTCAGCCAATAAGCCCATACCAGAAATACAAAACAATTCCTAATGTGTATAATGTCCTGTTCTTGCAGATTAAATTCTATAGAATTAAACATTTTAACATTTAACACCAACAAGCACCTCTCCTTTATTTCAGCAAAACAGTTCTGTTATTTACAGTTACCATAGAGATCCTAAACCAAAGCAAAGACCAACAAAAATGTTGTTAAAAATATGCTTTTAATAACATAGAACTTTATTGAAATACTGCCATCATGTGGCAGCTCTGAAACACAGAAAGGGCTGGTTTTGCCACTCTTGCAGCACTCTCAGTTTTTTCTGTAAAGCACCTGCCGAGGCTCTGAAGGGAACAGAGAAGTTTTGCTGCTGGCTGCACCGTGCTTTCTTGAAGCTTAGAATAAAATGCTAAAGTAGGATCTCAGCGTTAGCTTGGACACCAAAACCTCTACCTCCAGGAACTGTAGAAAATACTTCCTAATGTCCACATTCCAAAGGCACCGTGCAAGTAAACTGCCCTCACAATATCTTACTGTCATAAAATAAATTAACATAAAACGCAGTCAGAAGCTCACAGTTTTAAACCACAGATCATTCGCAGTGTATTTAGATTTTAGGGGGCCAAAAATACCCCTGAAGTGAGATGTTTTCAAGTCATAGCTTTAGCTGCCCTGGTGAGATGGAGGTAGACATAGGAACACCCAGAAAAGATTCGTGTCATCAGTACAAGTTGTTGCTATTGACTATTAAACATGTATTTCCATATTTACAATTTTCATCAGGAGTTATTCTACAAATAATACAAGGGCTATAAACTTTTAATTCCCATTTAATAATTATTTTTAGTAGAAATCCGTACCAGTTAGTACCAACTGTTCATTCTGAATCCTTCTTAATCCTTCAAAATCTCCATTCTGAATCATTCTTAAGAAATTAGGCTACTTCTTTTTGACTTAACTCAGAATACATCCAGTATATTCATTACAAGAATAAAATATTTTTAAAATCCCACACAAAATACAAGAGGTGTCTTGTGTGATAATCGACCTGCTGCAAAAAAATGAGCACCCCTGTGCTAATTCCTCGCTATTCTGCAGTACCAGCAAACAACCCTCGCAAGCAGCGCTCCCGAGTGAAGGAAGCGAAGTCCAACGCAGTGCTGAGTCCTCAGGCCAGGGACACAACGGCAAATGTCATTGCAGGACCTCAAGAAACACTTGTTTGGGGGTTTTTCCACTTACATTTTCAAGCAGACAAACTGCCGCAGGATTTCCAGAAAATGGCCGGTTTGTAAAGGCATCAACCGTAAAAACTGGGATTTGCATTGTCGTGGCAGCCTGTTCAGCCGCAGGCTGTGCCCGCCAAGGTACTTTCTAATCTGCTCTACCCCAAACGACAGCAGAGCTCCAAGTTAATGTTTCCCTGAGGGCAGGAGGAGCCAG